TATTATCACCGGATTGTTAATACAGGAATCCAGCTAATGTTCTGGGGACTCAAGTTCATGGCAGATGGTGGAATTTGAATTCAATAAAAAAAAACCTGGAATTAAGAGTCTAATGATGACCATGAATCTGTTGCCAATTGTTGGAAAAACCCATCTGATTCACTAATGTCCTTTAAGGAAGGAAATTACCATCCTTATCTGGTCTGGACTACATGTGACTCCAGACCCACATCAATGTGGTTGATTCTTAACTGCCATCTTTATGATTAGGGATGGGCAATAAATGCTGACCTAGCCAGCAATGCCCTCATACTGAGAATGAATAAAAGAAACTGCCTTCCTGTTTTTGCCACCAAAGTGAATAACCTCACATTTATCCACATTATATTGCATTTGCCAAGTATTTGCCCACTCAGCCATTTTCCCAAGTCACCCTGCACCCTCTTAGCATCCTCCTCACAGCACACACTACCACCCAGCTTACTGTCATCTGCAAATTTGGAGATATTGCATTCAGTTCCCTCCTTCAAATTGTTAACATATGTTCAGTCCCAGCACTGAACCCTGTGGTACCCCACTTGTCACTGTCTGCCAATCTGAAATGGACCCATTTATTCCAAATCTCTGTTTCCTGTCTGCCGACCAGTTCTCTATCCACATCAATACATTACCTCCAACACCATGAGTTTTAACTTTTCTTATTAATCTCTTGTGTGGCACCTTGTCAAAAGCCTGTTGAAAGTCCAGATACAAAACCATATACACAACCTTGTCCACTCTACTGGTCACATTCTCAAAAAAAGTTCTGGAAGATTTTCAAGCATGACTGCCCTTTAGTGAATCCGTGCTGACTTGGACTGAGCTTTCCGAACGCTTACGCATTACATTCTTAATAATTGACTCCAGCATTTTCCACACCACTGCTGTCAGGCTAACTGGCTGATAATACCCCATTTTCTCTGTCCCTTTTTTTTAAAATGTGTGGTTACATTAGCTACCCTTCAGTCCATTGGAACTCTTCCAGAGTCTGTAGAATGCTGGAAAACGGTCGCCAATGAATCCACTCTTTGTAGGGCCACTTCCTTAAGTACTCTGGGATACAGAGCATCAGGCCCTGGGGACTTACTGAGTTTAATCCCATTAATTTCCCCAATGCTATTTCCCAACTAATAAGGATTTCCTTCAGTTCCTCCTTCATGCTTGACCCTCATACAGCACGGGAAACAAACCCTCTGGTCCAACTCAGCCATGCTGACCAGGTTTCCCAACTAAACTGGTCCCATTTGCCTGCATTTAGCCCACATCTGTTCAGGTCCTTTTAAATCTTTCTCCTCTCGCCTTAAAATTATGCCCTCTAGTTTTGAACTCCTCTAACTAGGAAAAGACCTTGCTGTTCACCTTTTCTATGCCCCTCATGATTTTTTAAACTTGAACAAGGTCACCTCTCAACCACCTATGCATTGGATAAAGCTTGCTACCTCTGACATTACCCATTTACCACAAGATGAATCATACCAGTTGGACAAAATAGTATATTCTGGTTTATTCACTAACTAAGTAAAATCAGTCAAAAGTAAATCTCATTAATTTATTTTGCTTCTACAAATTAGTTTTCAATCGTACACTTTTCGCTCCATGCTGCTGATCATCTGCAATTAACTAAAAGTGTAATTGGCTCAGAGCAGTTAGCATTGATATTCCCTTTGGCCCTGGGGGAAGTGCCTTGCCACCACTTAGTATCTCTCCATAACACTTTTTAAAAGACGATTAAGTGCAAAGTATAGACTTTTACTAGGGATATATATATTGAGACAACACTGAATAGAGTGGAAAACAATACTGCATAGCTCATGGGTGCAAATATGATTATGACTGATGATCCAAATCAGTACCCTGTTCCTGCTTTCTCCCCATATTCTTTGATCCATCTATCCCTAAGAACTGCATAGAACACAGAACATAGAACATAGAACAGTACAGCATAGTACAGGCCATTCGGCCCATGATGTTGTGCCGACCTATTATCCTGCTCTAAGATCAACCTACCCTGCATACCTTACATTTTCCTATCCTCTATGTGCCTATCCAAGAGTCGCTTAAATGTCTCTATTGTATCTGACTCCACTACCGCTGCCAAAAGTGCATTCCACATGCCCACCACTCTCTGTGTGAAGAACCTACCTCTGACATCTCCCCTATACCTTCCTCCAATCACCTTAAAATTATGTCCCCTCGTAATAGTCGTTTCCGCCCTGGGAAAAAGTCTCTGACTATCCACTCTATCTATGCCTCTCATCATCTTGTAAACCTCTATCAAGTCACCTCTCATCCTTCTTTGCTCCAATGAAAAAAGTCCCAGCTCCCTCAACCTTTCCTCATAAGGCCTGCCCTCCATTCCAGGCAGCATCCTGGTAAATCTCCTCTACACCCTCTCTAAAGCTTCCACATCTTTCCTGTAATGAGGGGACCAGAACTGAACACAATATTCCAAGTGCGGTCTAACCAGAGATTTACAGAGCTGCAGCATAACCTCGTGGCTCTTAAACTCAATTCCCCTGCCAATGAAAGCCAACACACCACACGGCTTCTTTACAACCCTGTCAACTTGGATAGCAACTTTGAGGGATCTACGGACGTGGACCCCAAGATCCCTCTGTTCCTCCCGACTACCGAGAATCCTGCCATTAACCCTGTATTCTGCATTCAAATTCGACCTTCCAAAAAGAATCACTTCATACTTCACTGGGTTGAATTCCATCTGCCACTTCTTCGCCCAGCTCTGCATCCTGTCAATGTCCCGTTGCAAACTACAACAGCCCTCCACGCTGTCCACAACTCCACCAACCTTCATGTCATCGGCAAACTTACTAACCCACCCTTCCACTTCCTCATCCAGGTCATTTATAAAGATCACAAAGAGCAGAGGTCCCAGAACAGATCCCTGCAGAACACCACTGGTCACCGAGCTCCAGGCTGAATATTTTTCATCTACTACCACCCTCTGTCTTCAATTAGACAGCCAGTTTTGTATCCAGACAGCCAGATTTCTCTGAATCCCATGCCTCCTTACTTTCTGAATGAGCCTACCATGTGGAACCTTATCGAATGCCTTGCTAAAATCCATATACACCACATCCACTGCTCTACCTTCATCGATGTGTTTTGTCGCAACCTCAAAGAATTCAATAAGGCTTGTGAGGCATGACCTGCCCCTTTCAAAGCCATGCTGACTATTTCTAATCAAACTGTGCTTTTTCAAATAATCATAAATACTATCTCTCAGAATCCTTTCAATAATTTGCCCACCACAGACGTAAGACTGACTGGTCTGTAATTTCCAGGATTATTCCTATTCCCTTTCTGGAACTAGGAAACGACATTTGCCACCCTTCAATCTTCTCATACTACTGCAGTAGATGACAGTGAGGATGTAAAGATCATTGCCAAAGAGGCAGCAATCTCTTCCCTCGCTTCCCGTAGCAATCTTGGGTATATCCCTTCTAGCCCAGGGGACTTATCTATCCGCATGTTTTTCAAAATTTCTACCACATCCTCTTTCCTAACAACAACTTGTTTGAGCATATCTGCCTGTTTCATGCTGTCCTCACAAACATCAAGGTCCCTCTCACTGGTGAATACTGAAGCAAAGTATTCATCAAAGTATTCTAGCCTTCAAATATCTCCCTAGCCTTACCACCTCCATATCTCTGCATCAATCAGCAACAATTTTCTGAGAGCTCTGTTCCTCCAATCCTGGCCTCTTACACATTCCTAATTTTTAACTATTATGTGGCTCCTCCTTGAAGACATTCAATGTTTTGGTCTCAACCTCTTTCTTTGGCAGAGAATTCCACAGACTCACCACTCTTTGGGTGAAGAAATTTCATAGAATCATAGAATCCCTACAGTGTGGAAACAGGCCATTTGGCCCAACAAGTCCACACCGCCCCTCCGAAGTGTATCCCACCCAGACCTATTCCCCTAACCCTGATTTCCCCATTTCTAACCCACCTAACCTAAACATTCCTGGGCACTATGGGCAAGTATCATGGTCAGTCCACCTACCCTGCACATCTTTGGACTGTGGGAGGAAACCGGAGCACCCGGAGGAAACCCACACGGACACGGGGAGAATGTGCAAACTCCACACAGACAGTTGCCCGAGGCTGGAATTGAACCGAGGTCCCTGGCACTGTGAGGCAGCAGTGCTAGCCATTGAGCCCTTATTGGTGCTGTAACCTTTCTATTTTCTGTGATTGTTATAATAGAAAGTTTGCACTTTTGATGATTTCGGTGTGAGGAATTACATGAGGAGTATTTAAGATCTGCAATATTTAAGGGTCTAATTCGCTCGCTCTTTACCCCTAAGCTGACCCAAGCTCAATGTTTACATCTCAGTCTAGCCTTCAAATATGTCCCTAGCCTTACCCCCTCCATATCTCTGCATCAATCAGCAACAATTTTCGGAGATCTCTGTTCCTCCAATTCTGGCCTTTTCCACATTCCTGATTTTTTTTCCAGCATTATTAGTAGTACCTTTAGCAGACTATGTTCTGCAATTCCCTTTGTGAAACTGTCCTGGTCTTTTAAGTGTATCTTTTAAGATGCTGCTTAAAATCGACCTCTTCGATTGCCTGTCCGAATATCATCTTACGAGATTTAATATCAAATGTGAAGCACCTCAGGATGTTTTGCTACTTTAAAGTTTTACATCAACGAGCATTGTTGTTCACACTAAAATAACATAATCGTAGTATCATACAGTATGGGAAGAGACACTTTGGTACATTGAGACTGCACTGACAAAATCTACACCAGTCCCACTTTCCAGCACTTGGCCCATAGTCATGAATGTTATGAGATAGCATGAAGTATATTCGAATTAACTATAACTGCTGAGAAGTTGGACCACTTTATTCAAGTTTAATATTTTCTATTCCTTGCATTTGGGTTAACAAATTCACAAAGACCGTCAAAACGTTAATGCGCTTGTTTCGCAGGAGGCTTGATGAATACATGGAAACGCCGTTGGTGTGTTTTAAAGGATGAAACATTCATGTGGTTCCGTTCTAAACAAGAAGCTTTGAAACTAGGCTGGTTGCTCAAAAAAGGCGGTGGCACATCAACTTTATCAAGACGCAACTGGAAAAGACGTTGGTTTGTTCTGAGAGAGAGCAAACTAATGTATTTTGAGAATGACAGTGAAGAAAATTTAAAAAGGACCATTGATATCAGATCTGCAAGGTATTGTTCATTTAACTGAAGCCATGCTTTTAAGCTCTTGTAACAATGTACAATAACTCACCTTGTGTGACGTGTGCTTCTGTAGAAAAAAACATGTGAAAAGAACACTGGTTCTGTTTTCATTGTTAGGGCGATTATCGATGACACTGGCAAGGAGAATGGTATTAATATAGCACTAGAAGATCGCATCTTCTATCTTATTGCAGAGACAGCAGAAGATGCCAGGTAATTGTTCTGTTGTTAGATTTGATTAGAATTGATTAAATACGTTCTTTATTCATTCATAGTATGTGAGCACCATTGGCAAGGACATCATTTATCTCTAATTGCCCTTGGAAAATTGGTGATGAGGTCTCTTGAAATGCTGCTGTCTATGTTGTGTATGTCTACAGTGATGTAGGAGGAGGGATTTCCAGGATTTTGTACAGTGATAATGAAGGCCTAACTCCAAGTGGAGAAGCTTTGGTTTATCTTGTTGAAGCAAAGGAGAATGAGGAGACAATTGATAAAATTATGAATACTGTCTGGATGGCCAAGAAGCGTTTTCCCCACCAGTGCTGTTTTCACAACTCTCAAATGGCCACTATTCCAGGGAGGAGAAATATGTGCTAAAGCTCTCATTTTTAAAAAAAAGTAGCGTTGGTAACATTGTTCACTTGTGTCCAAAAATTTGCAAGTTGAGAATTGATCTGTTCAGTTCAATAAATACTTAAAGCAGAAATCAGTATTGCTGTCGTGCTTGAATCTAGGAATGGCCACTCATGACAACAAGTGACAGCCATAAGAAAATTGGATCGGTATTTAGAGGAAGATAAACTGCAGAGCTTAGGGATTAAGTAGTGGAGTGAAATTGATTGGATCACCCTGCACTTAGGCTCTTTGAGCAAAATGGCTAACTTCTATGGAATTTTTAAAAAATTGGTCTGTGTGTGAGACATGGAAGAGAGTTGATGGTATTCCCATGAATCTGCTGCCCTTGTCCTTCATGTAAATGTTATGGGGTTGAAAATTGCTTTAAAGGGAGCTTTGGCAAGTTTCTGCAGTGCAATTTGTAGATTTAGCTGCCATTATTGCTGTTGTTGGACCAAGTGAATATTTAAGATAATAGATGGGGTTCTCCTTGAATCAGTGCAATTACAAAGTAGAATTAAAGGCTCAATAGTTTTTTTTTCAAAAAAATCTTTTTGTTTCATGTTTAAGAATGTTCTGTTGTCTATATTTTCTATTTTGCTAAGCAGAGTGACCACATACTACTTGAAAAATTAAGTCTGTTTAAAAATAATAGAAAATGAGTCTGAAATGTTTGTACAGACTCTTGATTAAAGCAGACAGAGTTTCTAGTTCTTTTCCTTGTTTTATAGAACATAGAACATAGAACATTACAGCGCATTACAGGCCCTTCGGCCCTCGATGTTGCGCCGACCTGTGAAACCAATCTGAAGCCCATCT